ACTGGTTTCCTCGTGCGAGGCGTCCTCATGACGGTGGGCACCTGGACTTGCAAAACAGATTCCGTGGCCCAGGATGAGAATGAGCCGATCATTGGAAGTATTGCCTCAGAAAGGGTCTGCCACCACTCACCTGTTCTAGGGCATCTCTAGTTCATTAACATCCTCTAAATGCCCCCACCAGCTCCTGATCTGAGCACCCAGCACATGTCTTGTACCATTTTTGTTCTATTTTCAATTCCATCACTTGTGTATCTCTCTCATTCCAACTCCATCAGAGTGTAAACTTTTGGAGGGTGGGGGCTCTTATATCTCTTGCAGAAACTCAAATATCATATACACTGAGTGGCCAGATTATTATGACCACCCCATCAGTACTTCATTGACACTTCCAAAAATACTGAATATTGAAAACTTCCTAAGCAAATATTCTCAAGGTTTTATTATTATTATTATTTGCATAACTAATTCACTTCCTTGTACTGATGGGGTGGTCGTAATAATTTGGCCACTCAGAGTATATTTAATGAGTTGAATCAAAGACCAAGCAAATGATGTGGGGTTCTAACGAAAGCTATAAAACCTGTCCCCCAGGCTACTAGTGAGGTAGGTTGCAGACCCCTGGAGAGGAGCTGAGAACTTCTCCCTTGGTGCCCCCAGCCCAGGGTGGCTACCGGGGAGCCTGCTAGGCTGAAGGAGGGCCGCTCAGCTGCTCTGAAGGACAGGGAGAGACAGACAAATGGACGGAGCAGGCACCGCCTGCCACACTCACCCGGATCTCGGTCTGCACAGTGCATTTAACCAGTTTGAAGTTCTTCCCAGGGTTGAAGCTGTTGCTATAGAAGCAGACCTTGAGGATCCGCACGTCTTCCTTTTCCACATCTACTGGCATCACCACCATGGGCTCTGGGGGGCCTTCCGGCCGACATAGCGTGCCCACCTTTACTCGGCTCAGGGGCTGGGACACCCCAGACATCCTCTCAGACAGCAGCTAGGACCAGCACATCGCAATCCTGCGGAGACAGCAGAGAGACAGCCCTGAAGCGAGTCGTGTAGGTCCACATGCCTCACCCCCCAGGGACAGCACCCAAGGAGCCGAGACCCACGCAAACAACACCTTCTCCCAGTCCCAGAAACCTCCCTTAAAGGCACTGGGGGAAGCTGAAACACAAAGCATCCGTTTGCATAAACATCCGGGTAGCATTTAAAACCCAGACCCGGAACTCCCAGGCCGTGTGCACTCTCTTCTAGAAGCCCCCTCTCCCCACTCCTTTTCTCTTCCCACACTGGATCCTAGACAAGGGGCCCACACGTTGCAAACGAAGCTGTGAGAAGAGGCGGCCACCGCATGGTTCCAAGGCACAGCTGAGCAGAAAAAGCAAAGAGGACAGTGGAAAATAGCAGGAGAGAGGCAGGGACACGGTGGGAGAAAAATGAGAAGAAACAGAATTGGAGAATGGGTGGCCTGGAGGGCACTGGAACGGAGAAGGCAGGAAAGGACCCAGGTGGGTGGCCAGGCTGTCAGCTGATGGCTTTGTCTGCCTCCATCCAAAGCCACCACCAGCCCGAACTTTCTGGGCAGGAGGCCTCAGTCCCACAGGAACTCACATACAGCCCATTGTTCACTGCAGGCAGGAGAACTCAAGAGGAGCAGCACTCCAGCGGCCCAATCTGGGAGGGAGCTGGGCTGGGCCCCTAGAGGACCTGCCCAGTTCTGATGACAGTGGGGTTGACACTTAAATAGACAATAAGAATCCTAGGGACCTTTAGTTTACCCTGAATCTCAGCAAGAGTGGTCCTTTGGAGCCAGCACAACACTGTTGGGGTTGACCCCCCACTGGTCTGAAGCAGGAGTGCCCGTAGGAAACAATGGAAGTTCCAGCTGCAGATCGGTGGTATCAACCTTAGCTCTGCCTTAGGATCCCCCACAAAGGTTGTAAGAAAGCCTAAAGCCAGGCCCTATGCTCAGAGATGGCCACTGAGCTGGTGGGTGGGGAGGCCCGGAATTGGTATTTTTAAGTTTCCAAGGATTTTTCTAACATTCAGCCTGGGTTGGGAACCACTGTTCTAAACGAAGCTTTGGTCTCTTTCTGAGCCCATACTTACAGAGAGATATCTCCCTTCTAACAAAAGACTGGGGGGGGGGGACACTTAGGGGGACATTCCTAGACCAGAAGAAGTTGTGAATTGGCAATGTTAAAATACAAATGCGTGTCCAGCCGGTGTGGCTCAGTGGTTGTGGCTCTATGAACCAGGAGGTCATGGTTTGATTCCCAGTCAGGGCACATGCCCTGGTTTGCAGGCTTGGTCCCCAGTGGAGGGCGTGCAGGAGGCAGCCGGTCAATGATTCTCTCTCATTATTGATGTTTCTATCTCTCTCTCCCTCTCCCTTCCTCTCTGAAATCACTAAAAATATTTTTTTAAAGAGATGAGTACATTTGAAAATGTTACTTGAAACCTATATGATCTTATTTTTAAAAAATACAAATGCGGAATCAAATATATTGGAAGCGGAAGTAAAATCTGTGTTCATTCATTCACACTGTACTGGGCACTAGCAAGGAAGATGCACACACACACACACACACAGTCATTCGCTTCAGAGAGTCATTCTTCTGAAAAACCCACTGTGTCTTGGGAGACAGAAACAGATGCAGTGAGGACGAGGGAAGGAGCAGGCAGACAATGGGCAGAGCGCCAGCCTGAGTCCACAGGGCAACCAGAATTTGAGACAAGACAGATGGAGAAAAGAATCTTCAGTCTGTTTTATTTTAGAGACTAATATGAATGTGCTAGAAGTATCCGTGCATTTTTCAACAAATATCTTCAAAGCAGACCCTGTGAGCCAATACTCTGCTGGGTAAGTAGCCTGTGCCTAAGCTTCCCCAGACCCTCAGTAAGGACTCCAGAGGAAGTGCCTTGAGAGGAAACCCACTAGGAGTGGCGAGTGTGTGACAGGGAGGGGAAGACAGCCAAGGGAGAGTTATCCATTGAGCTACCATCACTTGGGCAACCGCAGAGTAATTCCACAGAGCTAGCTCCTCCTCCTGCCAGGAAGGGAGGGATCTGGGCATTTACACACCACTTTTTTTTTTCCTATTTATTGGGGTAATATTGGTTAATAAGAGGAAATGGGTTTCAGGTGTGCAATTCTATAATACATCATCTGTATATTGTATTGTATGTTCACCACCCCAAGTCAAGTCCTCTTCTATCATCACTTATCCCCCCTATACTCTCTTCAACCTCCCCACACGCCCTTTCTCTCTTGTAATCACCATGCTGTTGTCTGTGTCTATGAGTTGTAAGGGGGTTTTGGGGAGGGGGGGTTGTTGTTGTTTTTGCTTAATCCTTTCACCCTTCTCACCCAGCTCCCAATCCCCCTCCCCTCTGACAGCTGTCAATCTGTTCTCTGTCTATGAGTCTGTTTCCATTTTGTTTGTTAGTGTATTTTGTTCATTAGATTCCACATATGAGTGAAATCATATGATATTTGTCTTTCTCTGACTGGCTTATTTTGCTTAGCATAATGCTCTCCAGGTCCATCCATGCTGTCACAAAAGGTAAGATTTCCTTCTTTTTTATGGCCGAGTAGTATTCTATCGTATAAATGTACCACAGTTTTTATATCCACTCATCTACTGATGGACACTTGGGATGCTTCCAAATCTTGACTATTGTAAATAATGCTGCAATGAACATAGGAGTGTCAGAATGGCTGTCATCAACAAATCAACAAACAACAAGTGTTGGTGAGGATGTGGCAAAAAGGGCACCCTCATGTACTGCTGGTGGGAATGCAAATTGGTGCAGCCACTGTGGAAAGCAGTATGGAGTTACCTCAAAAAATTAAAAATGAAACTGCTTTATGACCCAGTGATTCCACTTCTGGGAAGTGACCCAAAGAAACTGAAAACACTCATTTGAAAGAATATGCACACACCACTCCTTACAGTCATCATTCCCAGTATTTCAGCCCGTTCTGCACAAGGTCAGTGGGCTCCGGAGACAAAGGAAGCCTTCAGGCACAAAGATGCAGACACTGGCGCAGAAAAGGAAGCAGGAGAATGCAGCAGTGACAAGGCCCAAGGGGCTCTCAGAGGGAATAATGACAGATCTGCTAGAGGATGTGAAATTGACTCAAAAATGTGTTGTCCCTGAAGAGCATACACTCCAGACATAGAGGTAAACAGGCACAATATACACACAGGTAAGTAAATAACCCGCAGAGATTCGGGATCTGCTGTGTCTACTGAGCCAGGGGCCCCAAGACCCCTGGCTTCTGTTTGTTTAAATTAATTTTCAGGCGGGGGCTTCATGAAGCAGTTTTGTGAAGCAGGTATCTGGGGCAGGAAGAAAATGGAATGGCGTATGGTCTCTGTCCCCAGGGACTAGATCCTACTCATGGCAGCCAGCGGGCCTGAGTCCCAAAGGTCACGTGGAAACCAGGGGCATAATCGGTGCTGTCACGTTGGCTAGTGGGACATGGACTTCGAGCTGGAGAGAGCGGTATATTAGTATCCATGCCTGCAGGTTATATCACGTGGCTTCTGGGCATCCACCATGAAGAGGATGGAGGAAGTGCCTTTCAGGACACGTCCCCCTGGCCCAGGCAGCATTTTCAACCAACTGGTGCTAGTGCCAGTGAGCCGATGAGAGACCCTCCAGAGGTTCCCTGAAACACCGGAGAAGAGTACGAGAGAGAACAGTTGAGTAGAAATAAGACATCAGTAAAATTAATGAGATCTGGCCGGTGCGATCTAAGAAACTCCATTTGCACACATTATGTGCGTCGTTTTCTGAAGAGAAGAGTGAAGGAGATGAGCCCTCTGAGAGGCAGAGCACAGGAGCAGGGACAGAGCAGGGGAGCAGAAACCAGGACCTGGGACAGAGGCCAGGGCGAAGTCTTGGGTGGAGAGGGGGTAGACAGGGATGACACCCCCCACCCCCTCCCCAGGGCTTTAACCCTGTGCAGCTACAGCCAACGGTACAATGAAATGTGGCCCTTATAAACGTGAGGAACCAAGACAATGTAAACATGTAACAAGGATGTGGAGCAACAGGAACTCTCATTCATTGCTGGTGCAAACTCTGGAAGATAATTGTGTGGTTTCTTACAAAACTAAGTATACTCTTACCATACCATCCAGCGATCATGCTCCTTGGTATTGACCCAAAGGAGCTGAAAACTTATGTCCACACAAAATCTGCACATGGATGTTTATGGCGGCTTTATTCATAGTAATTGCCAAAACTTAGAAGCAACCAAGATGTCCTTCCGCAGGTGAAGGGATTAATAAACTGTGGTACAACCAGACAAGGGAATATAATTCAGTGCTTAAAAATATGCTCTATTAAGCCATAAAAAAGGCATGAAGAACAGTAAATGTATATTACTAAGTAAAAGAAGCCAATCTGAAAAGGCGACATACTGTATGATGCTAACTATATGACATTCTGGAAAAGGCAAATCTACAGAGACAATAAAAACATCAGTGGTTGCCAGGGTTTGGGGGAAGGAGGGATGAATAGGGAAAGCACAGAATTTTCTAGGCAATGAAAACACTCTGTATGATACTAGAACCATGGATACGTGTCATTACACATTCGCCCAACTCAGAATATACAGCATCAAGAGTACAATCCTAATGTAAACTATGGACTTTGGCTGACTATGCTGTGTCAATATAGGTAGGTTCATATTGTAACAAAAGCACCACTCTGGTGGAGGACGTTAAAAGTCGGGGAGGCTGTGCGGGTATGGGGGTAAGGGCTATGGAGGAAATCTTTGTACCTTCCTTTCAATTTTGCTGTGACCCTAAAACTATTCTTTCAAAGAGTTTATTAAGAAAAAATTAAAGCTGAGAAACCACAACCTGCCTGGGCAGTGTCTAGCCCACACAGGAGTCAACCCCCACCCCAGCCCTGACCAAAGAGAAATGCCCATATTGTATATCTTTTTTAAAAAATATGTGTGTGTGTTTTATTTATTTGAGAGAGATTGGGGTCAGGA